ACATTACCAGAGAATAAATGTTAACAAAGATGATTGGGTTGATGCTGAAATTTTTGATCCTGAAAGGTTTTTGAAGACTGAGAATGCTAAAGAAGCTAATAATAAAAGAGACATTGCAACATTTGGTGGTGGTGCTAGGATTTGTCCGGTATGTATTAGTAAAAGCTATAATTTACATAAATTATTAAATAAATTTTATAAATTGCTTATTTATATGTTCTACATTGACAGGGAAGGCTCTGGGCGCTAATTGAAATGAAAGTACTTTTAGTGACAGTCTTAATGAAATATGACATGGAATTTGTAAATCAAGATCAAGGATTGGACTTATATTTTGACTCATCTTATCATTGGAGAGAACTTAGAATCCGTTTAAAACCTAGAATACATGAAGAATAACTTAAAGTGGAATCCATTCACCTTATCCCAAATGATTCAACTCTAAAGTTGAAATTTTTTATAAAATAATTTTCCATTTATTATTCTATGTATGTCATTTGAAGGTTTTTAGGCCTGCAACATAATAACTAGCACAATAATCTATCATGTTATTTTTCTTAACCTCGTTTAATGTTAGGTAAATGAATGCTATAGGGAAAATTTCTTTGACATATAAAATATAAATATGCATATAATATCTTGGTGAATGAGGCCTTTTTCATGTAAAAACATCAGACCATTTGATATTTCCATTGCAATACGTGATCTATCTATCCATCTTGAAAAAATTTTCACTCAAATTTCCATCGTTAGCAAATAATCAAACTACACTGGCGATCATAAATAATGCAACAAAAAAAAAAATTTGGTCGGATCGAATTATCTCACGCAATTCCGAGCGTATTTCTTAAATTTTTTTTTTATATTATTCACAAATACTATCTTTTTTAAATAGCAAAATTTTAATAATTGTTATTATTACCAATTCGAAGATAATTGTGAATTTATTACAAATCACGTGTTGCATTATTTTTGATCGGTTTTGACAAAGATCAGATCGCGTAAGTTGTGCCACATAAATATATATAAAAATGGAAGTTTCATTGTTGATTCTGCATCTTGTGTAATGTTAGAATTGCTTACAATTCAAAAAAAAAAGAACCATACAACCTTCACCAAACAAGCCCAAATATTGCTTTTCCTTCAAAAAGGGTACACCACAAGAGCAGTAGGTCAGGCCCACCATGTTAACTTTTCCATGGTCTTGCAAATTAGAAAAAAATGATTAACAAACCATACATTTGAAGATTTAGGAAGAATTGGTTATCTAACTTTTTTGGATGAATCAACCCAAAGAAGAATAGTAAATTTAATTACCTCCCATCACTGCTCTACTGCTATTGAAGTGAGAACCCACCTCAAAATAAACAAATATATTGAAATTTTGGTGTCTACTATTTAGCAGATACTTCGAAACCATGGTTTAGTATCAGGAATAAAAAAAAAATAACTCTATCTGTATGATAGTTATCGAAAAACATGACTTGCTTTTGCAAAAAAATATAAAAAATTGATCATCAAAGATTGGTCTAAGGTAATTTGATCGGATGAATCAAGGTTCTAAATTTTTGGATCAGATAATAAGCAGTACTATTGGAAGTGTCATGGAGAACCATTAAATCAGTTCCATGTTAAGCTCATTATGAAATATGATGACAGATCAATTATGATTTAGGATTGTTTTATCTCTCATGATATTGACAGCTATTGTAAGGTCAATGGTATGATGGATATGGATCTGTATCTAAAAATACACCATGAAGATTTGATGTGGATGATTGAGGATTATGGATTTGAAGTCAGGAAAATTGTTTTTCAGCAAGATAGAGCATTTTGTTATATAGCAACCATGACCAAATGTTGGCTTACAAGGAAGAAGATAAAGTTTTTTGACTGGTCTTCCCAATCAGCTGATCTAAACCTGATTGAACACTTGTGGGATGAAGTTGATCATCAGCTTAGGGACCTTTCTGGTCAAATTTCTAGCGAAAAAGACCTCTAGAAAAAAATTCAGATGGTTTGGTAGGCAACTGATGTTGAAACCTGCATGAGGTTAATTCATTCAATGCCAAAATGAATTCGTGATGTAATTAGAGCCTGGTATGGCTACACCTTATGGTGATAGCTGAAAATTATTAGAAAAAAAAATTTTTTTTTTATATAAAAAAAATTTTTTTATTTTACAATCGTGTTGCTGTTAAAACGAGCAAAAATAATGCAACACGTATATTGAAATAAAGCTCATGCTCCAAAAAAATTTTAATCATTAAATTTTTAAATCCTTTTTATTAATGATAATTGCGAATAAAATAAAAAAAAATTTAAGAAATACACTTAGAATTGAGTAAGATAATATGATCTGACTAAATTTTTTTTTTGTTACATTATTTATGATTATTAGTGTATACTATAACACCCTTCATATTCTATCAATTGTATGTAAAATAATATTAGTATTATAAATACAAATATATCTTATTGATAAGGATTAATCTACCAGAAGAGCTTAAAATGCATTCCTTTAGTTCTTTTAGCAATACTATAAAAGTTGATAACATTTTCATATAAACCAACTTCTTTTAATTGTTGAATCTGTACAGTTTGTCGATATAATAAGTGTTCAATAAATCGATAATGATATGTTTAATGTTTGGCATTATAGACATAAAATGATAATACTTCAGTAATAAATTCTTGAAAAGTTTTATAATTCTGGACAGTAATTTTGGACTTATAATCCTGAATAGTATCAATTTTGAACTTATTATCCTAGATAGTACCAATTTTTACACTTTTATAAATAATTGCAAAATTTTTTTTTTTATTTTGATCTATACAATGTTATCCCAAATCTACTTTCTTCGATTTTTCTAAAGTCACAAAATTTATCATATTAATAACATTTTTGTTTTAGTTTAGAAATTTCTTCTTAATCTGTTTCTATAATAGAATTTTTAAAGAATAAAAAACAAGTACGTATATTAGGTGAATTTAAATATAGTTAAGTAGTTAATCAACCTGTTTTTAATGAGTTCTATCTAGAGTAGTATACTTTAGATCTTTATACTTATACGTATATTTAATAACCAGACTTATTATACTTATAAGTATAAAGATGACATATAAGATGATCATACTCATAAGTATAAAGATGACTATTCCTTATATTGAAATCCTAATTGTGAGTACATAGATACCCAATCATTTTCATGTTTTCAGCCTTCCAAAACATCAAAAGTCTGATGATTATTAATATTTAGACATGTTGGACATTTTTAGATAATACAATAATGCGATTTTTAAAGGATTCTGAAAAAGTATGTAAGGAAATAAAAGGATAGAAAAACCATGTGATAAAAAGAATAACATTTTTCAAAGACTCATGATAAGATGATTTAATTTTATGATGCAATTTACACTTAGATTATAATTTTCTGAGAAAATGCAACTTGATAAGATAAAGTCTGATTTTCAATAAAAAAAAAGCAAAATAAAAAATAACGAATATTACAAGTAATCAACTTAACTGTTGATACATCTTAAGAATAAACTTGGATAATAATGAGGCTAAAGAATCTGGCATTATTATGATAAAAAAATTAGGATATGAGAAGCACTTGTTGATGATTACAGAATTATGAACTTCTAATACTATCAAAATCAATGAATATGGTCTCAGGAACTCTGAAGAATCAATATTCTTATGCATAAGAATATGTAATAATAAAGGTGATTCATGCTTAATTAAAACTTTGTTTAATATTGCAATATTATATATAAATATTTGGGGTAAAATTTGTTTAAAGACTGAATTAGAAACTTTTCTTTTCTTGTACATTATGTACATATTATTTTAAAAATAATAAATTTTTTATCAATTGTATAAATATGATTTGTTCTATAAAATTCTTTGAATATGTGCCAGGTTTGCAGTACAGAAAAATTCTTTAAAGTTCAGATTATAGTCAGGATCACATAGTAAATTGCCCAATGAAACCTTTTTATTAAAGCATTAAAGGTGAATTCTTTTGAGAAGTAAGAGATTTTTGACAAAACAGGTGTTTGTTTAAATTTTCTTGATTGTGTTATGTTATGCCTAATCTTAAAATCTGATTCTTAGTTCAGAAAATCTGTGTCATAAGTAGTGATGTGCTGTATATAGTACAGTACGTAAAAAAAAATTTTGGACTATTCTAGAACAAATTATAAAACTATTCATATCTCAAAAGTTTTTTTATGAACCACCTTTTGTATTCTAAATAAAATTATTTCTTGTGAATTTTGCATATAGATAGTTTATATATTATATATGTACTACATATTGCACATGCTATATACATTATACGCACTGTACATACTGTACGTACTGTATGCTAAAAAAATCTGGATATCATATAAATAGCATATCACTAGGTCTGCATGCCTTATTTATCATTCAATATTTTTTTAAAAAAAAACATAAATAAGCATATAGATCTGTAAAATCGAAGATGCTATAACAAATAATAGTAAAAATAAGTTTTTTAAGCACAAAAATTAGTGATCTAATATAAATTTAAAGGCCTAAATACTAAATATTTGGTAATTTTTATTTTTTTTTATTGAATTTTTTGTTGGGCTGATAAAATAATAATCACTGATCATTAAAGACTTTATCGAAAGAATTTGTTAATCATTTCTAAATATGCTAAATTATATTTTATAGATTTTAATGTTTGTTGCAAGGCCCCAAAATTTTGGGTCAGATTCATTGACTTTATCAATAGGTTTTTAGTCTTAGTCATTGAAATTTAAGCTAATATTCAAATTGCAAGTACTATTGACTTCTTTTATAAAGAGTTAATTAAGAATAGATTGCAATTAAGAATATGGTTTCCCGTGACTAAAATAGTGTCTGCATAGATTTCTCTCATTTCTGGTTTTGCATGACAACATTGTATAGCTACTTATATCTTAACAGTTAGAGTAACAAGAAGATATTAAATATAACACTTAAACTTATGACAATCGAGAAATCGATTCTTATATCCTTTATAACAAAGACATTGAAGTCTAAAGCTTTTTATACTTTCAAGATATATTAAAGGTTTATCATAAGCAATTTAGTACATTTATAGCCTAAGTCTATGTCTATATAATTCTCTATACTATACTTAGCTTAGTCATGTATAGATTATATATATTAAACAAAGTATGGAAAAGTATATAAAAGTATATATCAGTCATTCAATGTTGCATAAAATCTGCACCTTTTACATATTGTATATATATAATTGTTTTAAGTTATTTTACAATTTAGGTCAATTCCAAATTGACCTAGTTCATTTCTCAATCAGTGAATTTTTTAAAAATTTAAAATTATATGCCTAAGCGATAAATTATATAATACAAGCAATAATATTAATTATATTATTAAAATTTTTTTGTATAAAAAAAGTGAACTTTTACATAAAAAAAACAAAACTTATAAAAATTGTTTATAATAAAATTTAGCTATATTAAAAAAAAAGCTTTAATAAAAAAATATATTCATATAAATAAAAAATGTGTGATACAAATAAATAATAAAAAATTTACATAATTAATAAAAAATGCGTAATACAAATAAATAATAAAAAATTCATATAATTAATAAAAAAAATATGTAATACAAATAAATAAAAAAAACTGCAATAAAAAAATGTATGTTAAAGCATAAAAAGGTTTCAACAAAACAAACTTGCATTCCCAGGTCATTTAATCATAAAAAATTCTTTAGTCACACCAATATAAATAATTTTAAAAATTATATTACACAATATATAAATTTTGGCTTTATAATTGTTGGAATTTTTAATTACAGTTAAGCATTAATTATTTTATTTTGATCCATTAAACAGCGATTGTTTTTTCTTTGATGAATAAATGCTTTTAATATTTGATCAAAGGATTCAGACATCAAAAGGTCATAACTTTCTATTTTAAAAATCTATTACTATATTAAAAAATTAGACTTTCACATGAGGGTAACACTTAGATTATCTTGTATAAATAATTTTAATTGAGTTTAACATTATATACGATGATTTACACTTTATGGTCATGTGAATAATTTACTATTTAGATGTTTGTGTAATATATTATGTTGCTTATTGTGTTTCTTATATATTAGTGTAACTTGGTTATATGAATAATTTACTATTTAGATTTACTATTTAGATGTTTGTGTAATATATCTTATCATGTTGCTTATCAAGTTTCTTATATATTAGTAAACTTGGTCATGTGAATAATTTACTATTTAGATGTTTGTATAATATATCTTATCACATTGCTTATCATGTTTCTTATATATTAGTGCACCATTTATTTTCTACATATTATCAATTATAAATATAATATAATATGACCAAATTTCTGATTTTTTCGTATTTTTTGATTCTTTCACAAATGATTATGTCTAAAACTCCTAAAGAATACAAGAAAAGGCTTAATCATGAATATCAATGATATTAAGAGAAAATAAGAAAAGAAAGCTAGCTGATGAAACTAATTGATCTTCACCTGCTCAAAATAATATTTCTGTTTCTTCTACTACTAATACTAACATTTCTATAACTCATTTTTTTAACGAACAACTTTTAAATCTGGTGCTTCAATATGTTATATCTACTACTAATACTAATGTTTTTGAACAATCTTTAGTACCTTTGTCACAAGAAACTCTAAGTTCTAATATTACTTCAAATTCTAATATCAGTGTTTCTATTTATGAATTATCTACCTAACACAGTTTAGTACCTAAGGCTCAAGTATATCCTTTTAATTCAAATAGATTAAATTGGCATAATCTTGGAAAAATAAACATCTCATATACTTATTGCAGTGCATTGAAGTAGATAGATAAAAGAGTTGCAGGTTCACCTAAATGCTCACCTATTTTTTCTACCTGCTGTGCTCAAAGAAAAGTTAAATTACCACCTCTTCAAGAACTGCCAGCTATATTAAAAGTGTATTTAACCAGTGATGATATATATTCTTAAAACTTTAGACAAAAAATACATGCTTATAACTTGGCTTTAGCTTTTACTTCTATGGAGCAAAAATTGATAATAGAATTACTGAAACAAGAGGTCCTTATAATTTTTGTATACATGATGAAATATATCATCGGATTGGATCTCTTCTTTCTCAGTCGACTATTGAAGCCCCTCAATTCACATAGATATATATTTTTGATACTAATAATGAGACTCAAAATAGGCATAATGTTATGCCTTCTTTAGATAAAGTAACTCTATGCTTCATGAATTTAATCTGTATGTTTATGTTTTTCACCAAGCAAGTAGGTTATTATAGCAGAATCTCTCTCATAATTTAACTATAATAATTAAGAATTCAAGAATGACTGATCTATGACATTATAATATTCCTACTACTTCTAATGTTGCTACCATTATTGTAAACACCAATAATACTAATATTTTCAATAAAGATATTATTTTACATTCATGTGCAGGAAGTTTACAACATATATCTGAGCTACATAGAGCATATGCACTATTGCATTATGTTTTTTTGTTTCCTAGGGGTGAAGATGGATTCATTCAACAATACTATTAAATGATGAGGCACAATTAACTATTACTATGGCTCAAGAACTGCATGAAATAGATAATACTATTAATATATTGAATGAAGAAGATAGAGATAGAAACAATAAAACTCAATGATATGTTATTATAATAAAATATTATGCATATTATTTACAAGTAGTAGGCCTGCAGAAGGAATAAATCTTCATCTTTTTAGACATCTTTTTCAGCAATTTATCGTGGATGCATATGCAAATATAGAACAAGATTGCCTTAACTATTTAAAGTGTAATCAAAAAAAAATTCATGCTGAACTTTATAGTAGTCTTTATGATGCTTTGACAACACAAGATAAGACATCTAGAGATTTAACAGCAGCTAATATAGGAAAGTGTGTTATTCTTCCTTCAAGCTTCACTAAAGGCCTATGTCAGATGCAACAGCTATATCAGGATGCAATGTCTATTGTACACATGATGGGTAAACCTGATTTGTTTATTACTTTTACGTGCAATCCAGCCTGGCCAGAAATTACATCTGAGTTACTTAATAATCAAGTTGCTTCTGATCGTTCTAACCTTGCAGCTAGAGTTTTCAATATGAAATTAAAAGCTTTATTGCATTATATTTTTAAAAATCATATTTTTGGTTTAGTTGTCATCTACATTTATGTAATTGAATTTCAGAAACATGGTCTTCCTCACTCTCATATCCTTTTAATTTTAGATACAAATAGCAAACCAAAAACTGTTAAAAAATATAATGCTATTGTATCAGCTGAGCTTCCAGATAAAGATCTCCATCCATTGGCTTATGATACAATTCGACAAACAATGATTTATAGACCATGTAGCACTGTATATCTAATTTACCTTGCATGACGGATGGCAGATGCTCAAAAAGATATCCATATAACTTTTGTTCTACATTGTCTATAAATGAAGATAGTTATCCTGTATATCAACGCTTCAAGGATGGCAGATCAGTTGAAATCAAAGATGTATACTTAGAAAACTGTTGGGTTGTGCCTTATAATCTTTATCTTGCTACAAAATATAATGCTCATATTAATATCAAAATCCGTTCTTTGATTACTGCAGTTAAATACCTTTTTAAGTACATTTATAAAGGCTATAATAGAGCTACAGTTGAAATTAGAAGTTTTTCAAATTCAAGATCAATACAAGAAAGTAGTAAAATTCGTTGTTACTTAGATACCCATTATGTTTCTGCCTCTGAAGCTGCTTGGAGACTTTTTCATTATAAATTATATAATAAGAAACCAAATCTTATATGACTTCATGTTTACCTTCCTAATTAGCATTATGTATATTATCAAGATGAAGATATCTTAGATGAAATACTTCAATGTGATATCACAACTCAAACTACTTTAACTGCTTGGTTTAAAGCTAATCAAAAATTTTCATCTGCACATGCTTTTACATATGCTGATTTTCCTACTCAGTAGGTTTACAATAATGTTTGTAAAGAATGGAAGCCTAGACAATGAGGCAATTCTATTGGTCGAATGTATTTCATCCATCCAAAGGCTGAAGAATGATATTATCTTCGTATGCTACTAACTATAATGTGCGGTGCTCAATCTTTTGTAGATATTAGAACTGTTAATGATATAATATATTCTATATTTAAAAACACCTGTGAAGCTTTAGGTTTACTTGAAAATAATAATAAATGGGATGATTGCTTAAATGAAGCTCAACATATACAATCTGGATCTTAACTCCAGTATTTATTTGCTACTATTCTTATGTTTTGTTATCCTACTTACTCTGAATTACTTTGGAAAAAATACATCACTGCTTTTAGTGATAATATAATGTTTCAAGCCTATTTAGATATTAAAAACAATCTTACTACTACAATTAATGAAGTAATATATATAATATAGCATTAATTTGTTTGGAGACTATTTTGATTAGAAATAAGCAGAAACTAGAAAATTTTTCAAACATGCTAATTTCTGTTCCATTACCTGAAACCCAAGCTTATTAAAATTATTTAATAGCAAAAGAACTACAATATGACATTACTCTTCTTAAAAGTAGAGCTAAAAAAGCTTATTCTCTTCTAAACTTTGATCAATGCACTATATTCGATTCAGTAATATTAGGAGTAGAAAATCAATGCCCTGCTCTTTTTTTTGTAGATGGTTCCAGAGGCTTAGGTAAAATGTTTCTGTATAACACTATTTTAGATAAAATTAGATCTACTAGTTATATCCCTCACTGTAGCTACCTCAGGTATTGCAGCATTACTACTAGATGGAGGTTCTACTGCCTATTCTATCTTTTGAATACCATTTGAATTACATAAGGATTTGATCTGTAATGTATCACATGATACAAACCTTGCAGCTCTTTTACAGCAAGCTAATATTATTATTTGGGATGAAGCTTCTATGGCAAACTAATATGCACCTGAATTTATTGACTAAACCTTTAGAGATTTGATGAAAGCTATAAATCCTAATATTCAAACCTTGCCCTTTGGTGGAAAAGTTGTTGTATTTGGAGGTGATTTTTGACAAATCATATCCGTAGTACCTAAAGGTAAAAGAGAAGATATTATAGACTTCAGTTTATTATGCTCTCCTCTTTGGCACTATATAAAAATAATAAAATTATCCATTAACATGCATTTGCTCCAAGCTGATAATATTCAAGATGCTACTGAGTATCAAAATTTTGCAGAATGGCTTTTATAAATTGAAGAAGATCATGCTATATGAAATCAAGAGCATGGCAGTCTTATTAAACTTCCAGATGATATTTATATTTTCTCTTAGAATATCCAAGATTTAATAAACATAGTATATCCTGACCTTTCAATTTATGCCAATAATCCTTGCTACTTAATGGAATGTGAAATTCTTGCTCCAAAAAATACTGATGTGCATTTACTTAATTCAACAATTATGAACTTATATCCAGGTCAAGAATTTCAATATTTGAGTGCAGATAGTATTGATGAGGTATCACAATCAAATACTCATAAAAATTTTTACCTGATTGAATTCTTAAATATGTTGAATGTAAATGGTTTACCATTACACAATTATCACTAAACTAGGTGCCCCAGTTATACTTCTACGTAATATCAATCCTTCAATGGGTCTTTGTAATGAAATATGTTTAATTTGCTATCTTTTTCTTAGCATGTTATTGACGTTGAAATCATTACAGAAAAATATACAGATATACGCACCTTCCTCCCTAGAATTTCTCTTACACCTTCTAATGCACCTTTTCTATTTATACTTAAGCACTATCAGTTTCCTATTCAACCCACATTTGTCATGATGATTAATAAAGCTTAGAGTCAAACTTTAAAAAATGTAAGAGTTTATTTACCAACTCCAGTCTTTTTTTATGGCCAACTTTATGTTGCTTGCTCTCAAACAAAATCAAAATGGAATCTTAAATTACTTACTATTGATCAACATACAACTGCTGAATATACTCAAAATATTGTATATCCTGAAGTATTACAATAGAACACTTCTATCTTTTTTCTTTTTTTTTATGTTATTCCACTTATATTTTTTTTATACTAATCTATACTATATAAATTTCTTTTATTTTTTTATTTATTTGTTTTTTATGCTAATCCAAAACATTAAGTTTCTTTTATTTTAATTACTAATGAATTACAGATTATATTGATTAGACACATTATTATCATTTATTATTTCGTATTTATCAAAACATATATTTCATGCATATTGTATTGTACTAATTTAACACTATGTCATTTTCTTCTATATCAAGTGCTTACTTTGAAAAGGTGAGTATTCTATTTCATTTTAGATTTATATTTACTATAATGTATCTTTATATGCAAGCAAATATACCAAATAAATTATTTTTCCACTTTACTTTATAATACATTCTTTTATTTCTATTATTATCTAAAGCATTTATTTGCAGTCTGATTCTCTGTATACAAATACTTCCAAATTTTACATTAAGATTCGTTATCTCAAACCATATCAGAAGTCATTTTTATATTTGTTATTATTATTCTTAGCACCTACTACAAGTATTCTATTCCTAATAAAAACCATCAAATTAGAATTCACCTACTTTGCATATTATTTATATGTATTTCATATTTCTAATAGAGTAATTTCACTGCTTACAACATTTACCACCATCAAAACAATTATAAACTATTGCCTAAATTACTACAAGATTTATAGTACAGCATAGACCATTAATGTTACACATATACTAAAACTGGTGGAGGATTATATTCATCACAATTGAATCCAGCATAAATAACTTAATTTGTAGTTTATCACAGGTGAGAGGAATTCACTTTGGATCATGCACTGTCTCTGCTGTAAATTTATGGATCTACCAAAAAATCCTGAAATTTAAACTCTCAAAATCCATGATCTTGACATCATGCTATGCAACAATTAAAATTTAAAGCCTGACAATGATTATTAATATGATTACTAATCTTTAAATATTAATTATTGCACTGCATGTTGTCAGGATTATGGTTTTCAAGATTTTAAATGATGGAATTTTATGGTAGAACCAAAATTTATATATTAAATAAATTTAATCCATCAGTGTAAATGATGAGTTATATACTAGTTAATAAGAAAAAAAGTTGTATTTATTGATAAAGTTAAACATTCGAAAAGGTTTATGCCAGGAACTGTATAATGAAATCACAAAGTATATGGTTTATATGGTGAGTTAAGTGGGTCCCGTCTGCAAAATCTTAAGTTTGATTAGTTCACATGATTTATTTATCAAATTTTGGTTATTTTTCACACATAAATTTATCACACATATAGATTAATATGCATTTGAATAAGTGATTAGAGTATAATTTGAATACAAAAAAATGCAAATGTAAGTGATGTCATAGTTGTGATAACTAATGATATTATAAGCAATGCAATAGCAAAATAATTTTTAAATAACCTGATAACTATATAATTTATTATATGATGCCTTATAAAACTTTTGTTTAATTGGTTAATGCATGTCAATTACCTATAGTGTATATTGTTATAAACAGATCTCTGCAACTCAGTTGTTTCATAATCTGAATTCTCTTGCAATCAATGTTAGGTAATTTTTTTGAAAGAGGATGTTAGATTTGGCTAGTAGGTAATTAAGATTTTTGGTTACTTTGAGTTTACAAAGGCAAGTTAGGTAAGTCACATGATCAAGAACTTGAACAAACAGCAATGTTTATAAGAGTTTACAGGATTGTAATAGTAATAGTATTAGTGTTTATTATAGATGATATAAGGTATTTGGGATTTATTATTTAATAAAGCAAACAGAACATACTTACTCCTAAGAATCATTTTAATTCTTATTTATAATACTAATTTTCTCACTTATAAATATAATTTTGTACTTATTATTCCTTTAAGACTACTTAATATTGTTTATAATAATTTATACAATATTTTTAAGAATGTGTAATGTGTTTTTACATTCTTCCTTCTGAATCTAAAATATTATTTCTGATTATAAATGTAATTTATTGCATTTTATATATTTTTCATATAATCAGTCACAATTTCTGATATTACAATACCAAATACTTCACAATATATTAATAAGATACTAGATCAGTTTTTATTTATTAATTATATTTGTTTTTATTCACAGTTTCTAGTACAACTATGTCATATAGCTACCTTATTAGAATTATATACTCTATGAGCATAAAGCAAGCATCAAGCTTGTTATAATTTTTTTTATTGATAATTTTATTTATTGTTTAAAGCTTTTTTTAATAAAAAATCTTTGAAACTTTATTTGAAAGAATTTTTGAATATTGATATGATTAGTGAATAAGAAAAATAAATATAGAATCTGAAGAAAATTTAAATTGTGATAAGTAAAAATAAATATTTTAAAAAAAATTTCAATAAACATATTTTGCTTTGTGTATATTTGTTAAATTTTTAAAAATATTAACAAGTTGGTTTAATTTACTTTTTTAATTAAGATTTCTAAAATTTAAAATAGGATATTATAAAGACTTTCTCTAATTGCATATTCAAATATTATTAAATATTCATTATTAATTGTGTCTTAGGTTAGTTCATACACTTCAAGATTATTGCTTACTAATCTAAATTCTTATAACTTTTATACTTATTAATTTGAAACAAAATTTATAATATTAATTGTTTATATTTTATTAATTTTAGAACATTAATAAAACATTTTAATATATTTTTTAAAAATTCATTTATAAACCAGGTAAAGTTTTAAGTACAACTATACATAATATTTATATGATTGTGTGAGCTTACTATAAGTATATAAAACTGTTCTTTTACTATTATTAGACTCAGAATATGTGATCCACAGATGGCCAATTTCATCATGAGATTTTTATCGTACAACCTTAAGTCATGCCCTCCTGACTATGAAGATCTCTTACTATAATGAGGCTAACAATGCCTATAATGCTAATAATGATTATAATGCTTATATTGCATATAAGTATTATAATCATTATAATTGCAATAATAGATATATGGGATATTGACACCCTAAAAATAAATAATAAATTAACTATAAATAACATGTATGTTCATGCAAGTAATAAAATGGATTTCCTCTACCTTATCTGAAATAAATTGAATGAAGGATTCATCTATGAGTGACTGTAAAGAACCATTGTTAAAGAATAAACCTAAACCAGAATAGTAGTAAATCCTAACCTAATTGTCAG